TTTTGGATTAGGCTTGTTAAGACATATATAGATGCACACAATTTCGGGGGGAAATATGTAAGATCATCATGACGTACAGTTATAAAAAAATGTCCGATGGTCATGAGACTTGGTGGGTGGTTTAATAATCATGTAAATATGCAAAATCCGAAGTAATGACTATGATGTCATTGGCTAAATGTGTATGATTTAGATTTAAGATTTTATTCTACTTAACAAGAATTCAAACTATTTTTATTAAATCGACTCCAAACTTGACAAATACCAAGGCCACATTGTAAATAAGTGAATGGAAAAGGGACGTTGTCATGGGCCATGTGACGTCATCTTTAAGGTGAATTTTTCAAAAATGTTACAATCAAATTTGACAAAGTGCTTTGTTTAACTTTGATGGTGCGAAAAATGTATCATTTAATAATATTAATAATAATAAATATTATTATGATTTAAAATCTATATCGCACTGTGTTATTCTTTATCCATTAATAAAAGCACATTTGGCTAAAAAACTTAGACAAAGAGCCCCTATAAAACATTTAAAAATGATCAATCTACAGTTATCATCAAAAGAAACCATAAAAAAACATTCTAAATACATGTACAGGTTTCACATATTCTGCATACACTATGTTTGCTGTGAAAAAGGCTCGAGCACCGAGTGAGGACTGTTGTGAAAGGATAACGATGCCCTTTATTTACAGTGAATCTTTATGTGCATCAGAGACAAACTGTGAAGTGACGCATCAAGTAGTACAAGTATTTGAAATTTAATTCAAAATGCAATGGGTCACCAGTACAGTTCACGAAAAATTAACAACAAATCCTAAACTCAAAAAATATCAATGCGGAAAAGTCATAAGATGTGTTCTGAAACAGATAAAGACCTTAAGCGTGATTGTTGATTTTATTGAATGTATAGATATCAATGAGTGTACCTTGGGAACTGATGATTGTGATGACAGCAGCTCATATTGCTCCAATACTATCGGGAGCTACACTTGTACTTGTAGAACTGGCTATACAAGAGGAACTGGAAGGACTTGCATAGGTGAGATGAAGTTTAAATAATGTATTACTTATGACGATATAAACAGCATGACAAATTGCATGCAAACCACAATCCAATGTAATAGGAATGACCCTCAAATTTGGCGACACTAGTTTAAAACCGAACTTTGGACTGTCCCTCCTGACACCACTCTCACAACAGGTGTTCCACATCATCGTTCATCCCGCTCTTAGCCACAGCAACTGTATCCTAACATCTAAGTATAGTCAAACATCCCAAAGACTATATCAAATCTATATGTTACACAAGTTCCAAAGATATGGCCATTATAGGACCCCGTCATTTTTCAATTTGATAACAGTATCTGCTGGTATCTCTAAATAAGGTTTTTCCTAATGCCAAAAGTGCACTTTATTTTGGCTTCCGACCGGAAAAAAATCAACCTTTTTTTTTTGTTTATTTGCAGCCGACCTGTCTTGAATTTCTTACCAAGAACAGTAATAAGAATAATAATGCCTGGTCACAATTACCGTCCATGTTTGTGTTGAATGGACTGCACAAGGATATATTATGCTCCCGTTTGCGTATTTTTCAGATGTCAACGAATGCGCTCAAGGATCTGATTCTTGTCCTGACAATGCGCAATGTAGCAACACACAAGGTAGCTACACTTGTTCCTGTTATGCTGGATACAGAGATAACGGAAGGTCCTCTTGTACAGGTATGCGTTGGCCTTGATTCGTTATTGTATAAATCGATATAGAGTGCATGGATTGCCTTTGATGATTTGGCTTTGTCCGGATGTAGCAAAAGTGTTCTGCGGAGTTGGACGTCATGATAACGTCATTACATATCATGTGACGTCATCTTAACCCTAAAGGGGCCGGGTTATTTTGACCATCTCTCAGCCGGGTGAAACTCGGTACATGCATAGAGCAACTCTTCATGAACATACCCAAGAAATTTCGTGACCAAAGGTCAAAGGGTTTTAGAATTATGGCTAATTAATTATTCATATGTTTGAATGGCAATTCCGGACTGTGTACACGACGTAATATGGGGAAATTCAGTTTTCCCGGCACCTAGCGCCGGAAAAAAATTCGCTGCGCGACAACCCCTGTTCCGATTTTTATGTTTTTTTTGGTGTCAAAAGATGCGCAAAACTCGAGGCTAAAAAGACATCAAAGCTCGGGTCGCGAAAAAAACATTTGTTTAAGGCTATCACGGAAACAGTCGAGGGGGGGGGGGGGATTCCGCCCCCGGCCCTTTTAGAGTTAATGATGCTGCTTTCAAGAGCCAGTTGGGTTAAAGCAGTGGTATACATGGTCGGGGATGTCTTAAAGACGAAGTTACGTCACGATCACACCATCATTACAATCATTAAACGTTGCATTGATTTTTAATGTATTTTTTTAAACTCTTCTGCGTATCCAAAGAACAACACATGCTACATTTACCTTTTGGATTAGGTTTGTTAAGACATATATATATGCACACAATTTCGGGTGGAAATATGTAAGATCATCATGACGTACAGTTATAAGAAAATGTCCGATGGTCATGAGACTTGGTGGGTGGTTTAATAATCATGTAAATATGCAAAATCCGAAGTAATGACTATGATGTCATTGCCTAAATGTGTATGATTTTAGATTTAAGATTTTATTCTACTTAACAAGAATTCAAACTATTTTTATTAAATCGACTCCAAACTTGACAAATACCAAGGCCACATTGTAAATAAGTGAATGGAAAAGGGACGTTGTCATGGGCCATGTGACGTCATCTTTAAGGTGAATTTTTCAAATATGTTACAATCAAATTTGACAAAGTGCTTTGTTTAACTTTGATGGTGCGAAAATGTATCATTTAATAATATTAATAATAATAATTATTATTATGATTTAAAATCTATATCGCACTGTGTTATTCTTTATCCATAAATAAAAGCACATTTGGCTAAAACAAAACTTAGACAAAGAGCCCCTATAAAACATTTAAAAATTATCAATCTACAGTTATCATGAAAAAAAAAAAAACATTCTAAATACATGTACAGGTTTCACATATTCTGCATACACTATGTTTGCTGTGAAAAAGGCTCGAGCACCGAGTGAGGACTGTTGTGAAAGGATAACGATGCCCTTTATTTACAGTGAACCTTTATGTGATCAGAGATAAACTGTGAACTGACGTAACAATTAGTACAAGTATTTGAAATTTAATTCAAAATGCAATGTGTCACCAGTACAGTTCACGAAAAATTAACAACAAATCCTAAACTCAAAAAATATCAATGCGGAAAAGTCATAAGATGTGTTCTGAAACAGATAAAGACCTTAAGCGTGATTGTTGATTTTATTGAATGTATAGATATCAATGAGTGTACCTCAGGAACTGATGATTGTGATGACAGCAGCTCATATTGCTCCAATACTATCGGGAGCTACACTTGTACTTGTAGAACTGGCTATACAAGAGGAACTGGAAGGACTTGCATAGGTGAGATGAAGTTTAAATAATGTATTACTTATGACGATATAAACAGCATGACAAATTGCATGCAAACCACAATCCAATGTAATAGGAATGACCCTCAAATTTGGCGACACTAGTTTAAAACCGAACTTTGGACTGTCCCTCCTGACACCACTCTTACAACAGGTGTTCCACATCATCGTTCATCCCGCTCTTAGCCACAGCTACCGTATCCTAACATCTAGTTCCAAAGATATGGCTATTATAGGACCCCGTCATTTTACAATTTGATAAC